GCAAGAGAACCACAAATCACTGGTGCCGCCAGTTTCAATAATTAAATAAATAAAATACTCTAGTTCACTTCACCAAAAAAAAAACTTTTAACTTTTTTATGTACACTTTCAGAGGGGAGGGAGGGACAGGGTACCGAAAAGGAGTACTGTTTGTACACTTGCAAAAATGTTCACAATTGTGAATAAGTTATTATAAGACTCCAACCCCAATGAATTCAGTTCCTGAATGCAGAGTTTTGTAGTCATTCTGTAGCTTCAGACAAATTATGCACCATGTAATTGATACCACACACAAATGATACAACATGGTGGCTAAGACACATGGACCATTGCATTAATAAAACATGACAGCAACATTGTATCCATTCTCATAAAATACACAAATGATACAAAATGTCTGCCAATGCACAAATTAGGAATGATTTATCTGCTGTTATGTTAAAAAAGATATATAATATATAGTAAAGCTCCTCTCAGTCATGAACTCTGCCAATATTCAATGCTGTGTAAAATATGTAGAATTCAAAACTATACTAAAGCCGCTATAATTTATTATCCTTAATACAAATGTAAACTAGAATATCCTTGGCCTATTTGCCACCCACTCTTTTACAAAGAGTTTGGGCTGAAAACTTATTGTTATATGTTAAACAGAAAACAATAATATTCAATTCATTTAAAAAACATTATATACAGTAGCCCTCTGTTCACACAATCGGGGTTTCGTGACAAATTTGTTTATTTTTTCCTGTATATGGGTGTGAAATGACATCATCCTGCCCATATATGGGTGTGAATGACACTCATTGTTACATAAAACCTGATTGTGGACAGATCTTTTGCTCAAACTGCACATAACAGCAAAATGAATGCATATTAGCAATTAAATACTAATTTATTTCAATTTATTCAATTAATTTCTTTGTTAATTATATTAAAATACAATGTGAGTGACAGATATAATGCTCTACAGATATATAAATCAAATATCTATCAAAATACTGTTTATGTCCATTTTTATTGTTTGACTAATATTTTGGTTTAACTCCTCCTTATTGCAACAGAATTAATGAACGAATAACAAAGATTTGAATAACACAGATTTCGTAGTTAACACGCTAAAACTTGAAAAATTAATTTACCATCTGCAACTGTTGATCTGTGGATTATACTGATCTGATATTGCGAAATAATCGCTTGAAAAAAAAATGGACTCATCTGGTACCAGGCCGGTACCAAGCGACACAAAATAACTAACCACAACAATTCACAGAGAAATGTGTGGGCAGGCATATGCCCTCTATCTGAGATGGATATACATCACCTTGATGGATTTATAATAGGATCCTTGAAACAAAAAGGGAGTCTTTAAAACAAAAATGAAAACTTTGGTATTTCATAAGGACTGAAAACAAAGTAATTAAATCTTAAATGTTTATGGATGTGAACATGAATATATAAACAATTTAAAGTGCTTCAGTGTGTAGATTATTTTCTTTTTTTCTTTCCTTTATCATTTACCCTGGGAAACTGCTCAGGGATAAAATCCTTGGTCCTCCGCAGATCCCAGCAAAGAAAATAACAAATTGAATAACTATTCATTAAAATAAAAAACATTGAAACACAAAAATCTGTACTTCTCCCTAGTTTTAGTTCACTGTATGCTTATAGGAGGAAAGGGACTCACATCTCTTAGCTTAAATTTTATCAGAGATGTTATAAAAAAATATTATTATTATAATTATTATTGTTATTATTATTATTGATTATTCAATAATCAATGTTTCCATTACCTGCATGGTTTAAAATAATAAAACAAACTAATAACTAATATTACTCATGTTGCAAAAACATTCATTTATTAAAATTTATAAAACAGCAAATTTTTATCAAAATTAAATTATCTCCACACCTTGATTACAAACTTAACTGCTAATTTTGAAAATATAATTACTAATGATGTCACCTCTGACAGTTCGACGCGCTAGAAATTTAAAAACGATTTCGCTATCTGCAACTATTAATCCGTGGATTATGAGGGAACGATCTGACATTACAAAATATCGCTAGCAAAAATTGACTAGTGTAGTATTAGCTGGCACTAGGTAGCACAAGCAATAATTACCGAACAACAACGGATTGTTAACCATGTTGAGCGAAACAAAATTGTAAGTTTTCGAAGATGTCATGTTAATAATTGCAAAATTTGACAAATATACAGTACACAATTAGGTATCAAAAATGTCTTGCGTTCCACTTTAAATCCTCCACGATGTTTGCAACTGAAGTCAAAAACCTCTTGACATGCGTCAGATAAGTAGTCAAAAATCAAATTATGAATTGCGTCCAATACTGGAAAAAAAAGTCTGCATAACCAAAGGCATTGCACTCCCCGACTGCATGATGAAAAAACTTCCAAAAATGACTACGACACATAGGAACATCATTGTATGGTTGCCACAATAGAACTGTGCCAACATTTGGTAGGAAACAAATGATTTCTATCAAGCACCAGCACATAATGCATCATCAAGTATGATAAACATGAAACATTTGTAAGCAATTAACATGAAGAGCCAACCTGTATCCTCTGAATACTTTGTGCTAATTTATGTTCAGGTGTTGATGACTCTGCAGTGCATTCATGAGATCGTCATCTGATGGCTCCTTTAAGTCAGGCCTGACAACAAACAACACAATATCTATGTAAATGTTGTTATTGTTGTAAATTTTAAAATTAAATCAGTATTTTATTATATTTATTATAACCATCATCTTGTAGGATTGTGCATAACCTCTATTATTAGGGTAATACTCTTACACACTAAACCCTACACGCCAAATGGTAGGCATCAATGCTCGTAGATGTGTTATCATTTCTCTCTCCGTTATCTTTTTTATATACACTTTTATAACAATTATTTAAAAACATGATGGTATAATAACAAATGCAAAACCAGATTGTGATTCTGAGAGAATAACCCATGTCAATTACCCAGCATGCACTTGACTCACCTAAACATTGCATGGACATTCAGCATGTACATCGTTTGCTGGTCTTCCCTTTCTTGAAGATGATAACGATCCCATTTGGTGATAAAATTCTAAAATCACAACAAAAATGTTATAAAAGCATAGCACATTCTCAATGAGGACAATTTGTACAAGTCGAATGATGCTTCCAGTCGTTGCATGATCTATACCTATTGATTTATTCATACAGTATATTACACTAAAATACAATATTCATTTAACAAAAATCAAACAAAATCTGAACAATGTAAAATTTTACCTCAATTATCAATGCTGCGAAGAGATTGAGACATACTAAAACTGACACAAAGTACCAGCAGATGAAATAAATCTGATACCATCTGCAAAAGGAAAAAAAAACTAAAGTAAATATTTTGTTTTAAATAGGAATAATGACAGTAAACATTCAATTGAATTCAAATTAAATTTGAATAGGTAGATGAGCCATGGAGGGAGCTGTAGGCTGGGCAATAGTGGTTTGGACTATAAGGCCCTGTCCACACTATCAAATTTTTACAAAAACATGTGATATGCCTAAATACAGTCATGTTGACATCACACCATGACCATATATAGGCACATCATGACTATATATA